ATTTTCTCCATACTCTCGTTAAAAGCAGTTGGCTGCCACATTCTTCCTGGGACGCTCTCTCTGCAGTTTCTCGCATTAAAAGGATCGAAGAGGGAGACAATTCGATCTCGTTCTCTTTGCAGAATTTGTAGAGTTTGCCTATGGCTTCAAGGACTCACCGGGGCATCTATCTCTTCCCACTGTCTCCGTTTCGTACCTGGCTCTCCTACTTTGCTTTTGAAAGTGTCGTGTTCGATGATCTCTAGATCTGTCTGTTAGGGTTTTTATCAGGTCTTTCCCCGATTTGGTGGAGTGAGAGCGACATTTGAGTGGGAGGGAGAGATGAATGTGGTGAAGGGGCGAGATTGGCAGCCCTGCAACAAGAAGAGGTTGTGATAACAAAGATTTACGATTTAATAGGGCTGCAAGAGAAAGGGTTGGGGGAGAGACGGGCAGACATGAGCTCAACAGCGAGAATGCGGGTGGGGAAGTATGAGATAGGAAGGACGTTGGGAGAGGGTTCGTTCGCGAAGGTCAAGTTTGCGCGGAATGTGGAGACGGGGGAGCATGTGGCCATCAAGATCTTGGACAAGGAGAAGGTCCTCCTCCACAGGATGGTTGGCCAGGTCATAATATTTCCATTCTCTGCTTGCTTGATTGAAGAAAATTAAGTTTCTGTTCTTCTTTGAAGATTTGATTTTGTTTGGCTAAACTTTTGGGTTTTTGTTTGTTGAATTGGTTGCTATGTTTATTATTTCTGTTTGTGTATGATTTCGGTGTCTGATTCGGCTTGGTTGTTGTATTTGTGTCTAAGCTTCTCTTGTTTGGTATTTGGTTTTATGTTTTTGTTATTGTTTTTATTTTGTTACTTACAGGAAGAATTTAGTGGTTGTTTTTATTTTGAGATGTTTTTCAGTTCCTCCTTTTATAACTTTATATTTTCTGTTGAGGATCCTTCCTGGAAAATTATAAGGACGCTGATGAAGAATTAATTGATTTTATTTTGACATATTTTCAATCATACAATATTAAATTCAAATTGGCAAATAAAAGATTCATTCAAAAAAAAAAAAAAAAAAAAAAAAAAAAAATAAATTGGCAAATAAAAAGATTCATTAAAAAAAAAAATAACATAAAAACTGGTGCAATACCAAATTTTATGAATTTTAGGATGATTTGATTATACATCAGGTGTATAAAAAAATCTTCCTGAACAAATGATATAAAATGATCAAGGCTAATATCTAAGTTGTTCTTATGATATATATATATATATATATTAATAAAATGAATGACCAGAGGCAATTATACGAGCCTCCAGTCACCCATAATGTGCCTAGCAATTCGAGTACAACCTTCTTAAGGCCAACTGTGCTAGAGGGGATTCGAACCCCCGACCTGAGAGGTCTTATACCGTGGATGCCAACCAACAGACCAGGGTACGCAGCACACACACACACACACACACACACACACACACACACACACACCCCCACACACCCACAAGCACAACCAAACACACGCAA